TATTGTACATATATCCTGCATGTAACATGTTTGCACATTTCCTCCTTTAGCACAATCTGAGTGTCTCTATCCATGCCAAATGTGACATGTAAATTTCTCCTCTGTGAGATAAATAAAGCACATCTTATCTTATCTTATGTATTTATAGGCAGATTACTCATACAGCAATAAGTTCAGCGTTTCTTTGGAGGTCACCGCAGGATTCCATTGATCCAAAGAGTTACACCTCGAGGCTGTTTCCAAATCCCCAATGATTAACGGAACATTTCCCCGGAAACAGACGATCCTCAAGAACAACTAAAGTCATGTTCAAGGACAAACACACTCACAGCAAAGACCTCCTGTGTCTCTGTGTTTTCAGTGCATTCAAGAAACAACCCAAATCCCAAATAATACCAATATATAAAACCCTACCAAAAACAAACAACAAATACAGGAGCAAAGAAGCATAAGCAGAGACAGAACGGGACAAGTCAGTTCAATTCATTTTAGAAAAGTCCTAAATCAGAAACAGAAGTCGTCTCGGAGGAGTTTCCAAAGTTGTCGATTCATCAATAGATCCGAAAATAAAACAGTTTAAACTCATGAAATGTAATAAACACAAAGAAGACATTGGTCCTTAGAGAGAGGAATGACCACTGTCCAGAAATGACCTTAAAGGAGCAGTGTGTAAACATGTGTCCAAAAGTGGTACTGCAGCCTCTCCCACTCTCCCTGACTCAGGTTGCCAGATATGCAGACGAATCCAGCTGGGACCATAACAGCTGAATAGACAAGAGTTTTGTCAACAACAAATCTATAACCAACACCTTTTTCACAAAGATAGAAATCCTGCTTTTATTCCTTGTTTTGTCGTTAATGATTTGAGAATCATAACGAGACCTTTTTTAGTTCTGCGCCACATGGTACTTTACCAGTGAGATTAGCTCCACATGGTACTTTACCAGTGAGATTAGCTCCACATGGTACTTTACCAGTGAGATTAGCTCCACATGGTACTTTACCAGTGAGATTAGCTCCACATGGTACTTTACCAGTGAGATTAGCTCAACGCGGTGAGTTCTGGCGCCCGGATCACAGACTTTCTGATTGGTGAAACGGTGGAGGGCGGGACATCAAAATGAAAACAATAACAAGATTTAGAGGCTGGAAAAGTAATTTAGAAATTCATATATCTCTGAACTACTGTTATCAGTTAAAGAAGTATTGGAAAAGAACAGTTTATTATTATGACAGATTAGGACAGATTAGGGCCCTTTAATGACGACAGATTAGGGCCCTTTAATGACGACAGATTAGGGCCCTTTAATGACGACAGATTAGGGCCCTTTAATGACCAGTTGATATAAAAAGCTAGTTTAAATGTCTGGGATCGTCTCTGTCCTTTGACCCAGAGGGAGATAGGTTCGAGACCCTGGAGAGAGATTAGCTGCTCTGGACCAACAGTTTTGAAGTGTGAAGACTTTCCATGTTATTTGTAAAACGCAAGCTTCATTGTTTAAACAGTGACTCATACAAACTCTCTCTCTCTCTCTCTCTCCAGGGGCAGGTGTTTACTTCCTGCTGCTGTCAGACTGTACAATGAGAACTGCTGAGCCTGTAAATGTCATTGGTAAATACTAAAGTCATGTGCAATGTGCCTTAGTATATATGTAATTGTATGATTGTGTGTACGTTGCTTTGTTGTGTTGTGTCTGAACTGAGTCTGAGTTTCTACAAACACTTCATTACTGCATAAACTGCTCTTTAGATAAACACACACTCGGCCTGGACACACCACAACAGAGCAGAAGAAGTTCTACTTAGAAGTAGGAGAAGAAGAAGTACACGTACAAGTAGAAGAAGTAGACGAAGAAGAAGTACAAGTACAAGTAGAAGAAGTAGAAGAAGAAGAAGTACAAGTACAAGTAGAAGAAGAAGAAGTAGAAGAAGAAGAAGTACAAGTACAAGTAGAAGAAGTAGAAGTACAAGTAGAAGAAGTAGAAGTACAAGTACAAGTAGAAGAAGAAGAAGAAGTACAAGTCCAAGTAGAAGAAGAAGAAGTAGAAGTACAAGTCCAAGTAGAAGAAGTAGAAGTACAAGTCCAAGTAGAAGAAGAAGAAGTAGAAGTACAAGTCCAAGTAGAAGAAGAAGAAGTAGTAGAAGAAGAAGTAGAAGCAGAAGTACAAGTACAAGTAGAAGGCTGATTGAATTAGCGGCGGGTCCCAGATAATCTCAGTTTAAGGTCGTTGCGTCTGGAGTTCATCCATAATGCTCTAATGCTTTGTGCAGTTACATCCCGCCTCCACCATGTTTGAGCGTCCGTCAGTCCTCGCCGTGCCCTTCAGTCCTCGCCGTGCCCTTCAGTCCTCGCCGTGCCCTTTAGTCCTCGCCGTGCCCTTCAGTCCTCGCCGTGCCCTTCAGTCCTCGCCGTGCCCTTTAGTCCTCGCCGTGCCCTTTAGTCCCCTCGCCGTGCCCTTCAGTCCTCGCCGTGCCCTTCAGTCCTCGCCGTGCCCTTCAGTCCTCGCCGTGCCCTTCAGTCCTCGCCGTGCCCTTTAGTCCTCGCCGTGCCCTTCAGTCCTCGCCGTGCCCTTCAGTCCTCGCCGTGCCCTTCAGTCCTCGCCGTGCCCTTCAGTCCTCGCCGTGCCCTTCAGTCCTCGCCGTGCCCTTCAGTCCTCGCCGTGCCCTTCAGTCCTCGCCGTGCCCTTCAGTCCTCGCCGTGCCCTTTAGTCCTCGCCGTGCCCTTCAGTCCTCGCCGTGCCCTTCAGTCCTCGCCGTGCCCTTTAGTCCTCGCCGTGCCCTTCAGTCCTCGCAGTGCCCTTCAGTCCTCGCCGTGCCCTTCAGTCCTCGCCGTGCCCTTCAGTCCTCGCCGTGCCCTTCAGTCCTCGCCGTGCCCTTCAGTCCTCGCCGTGCCCTTCAGTCCTCGCCGTGCCCTTCAGTCCTCGCCGTGCCCTTCAGTCCTCGCCGTGCCCTTCAGTCCTCGCCGTGCCCTTTAGTCCTCGCCGTGCCCTTCAGTCCTCGCCGTGCCCATCAGTCCTCGCCGTGCCCTTCAGTCCTCGCCGTGCCCTTCAGTCCTCGCCGTGCCCTTCAGTCCTCGCCGTGCCCTTCAGTCCTCGCCGTGCCCTTTGTCCTCGCCGTGCCCTTCGTCCTCGCCGTGCCCTTCAGTCCTCGCCGTGCCCTTCAGTCCTCGCCGTGCCCTTCAGTCCTCGCCGTGCCCTTCAGTCCTCGCCGTGCCCTTCAGTCCTCGCCGTGCCCTTCAGTCCTCGCCGTGCCCGTCAGTCCTCGCCGTGCCCTTCAGTCCTCGCCGTGCCCTTCAGTCCTCGCCGTGCCCTTCAGTCCTCGCCGTGCCCTTCAGTCCTCGCCGTGCCCTTCAGTCCTCGCCGTGCCCTTTAGTCCTCGCCGTGCCCTTCAGTCCTCGCCGTGCCCTTCAGTCCTCGCAGTGCCCTTCAGTCCTCGCCGTGCCCTTCAGTCCTCGCCGTGCCCTTCAGTCCTCGCCGTGCCCGTCAGTCCTCGCCGTGCCCTTCAGTCCTCGCCGTGCCCTTCAGTCCTCGCCGTGCCCTTCAGTCCTCGCCGTGCCCTTCAGTCCTCGCCGTGCCCTTCAGTCCTCGCCGTGCCCTTCAGTCCTCGCCGTGCCCTTCAGTCCTCGCCGTGCCCTTCAGTCCTCGCCGTGCCCTTCAGTCCTCGCCGTGCCCTTCAGTCCTCGCCGTGCCCTTCAGTCCTCGCCGTGCCCGTCAGTCCTCGCCGTGCCCGTCAGTCCTCGCCGTGCCCGTCAGTCCTCGCCGTGCCCTTCAGTCCTCGCCGTGCCCTTCAGTCCTCGCCGTGCCCTTCAGTCCTCGCCGTGCCCTTCAGTCCTCGCCGTGCCCTTCAGTCCTCGCCGTGCCCTTCAGTCCTCGCCGTGCCCTTCAGTCCTCGCCGTGCCCTTCAGTCCTCGCCGTGCCCTTCAGTCCTCGCCGTGCCCTTCAGTCCTCGCCGTGCCCTTCAGTCCTCGTGTGTTTAGGAAAGGAGGAAGTGAGGAGAGAAGGAGCATGAAAGTGAGTGGGAGGAGTTAAAATGATAGATGAAAAAGACAGAAATAGGATAAGGAAGTCTGCAATGACAGCTTTGTTAGCGTTCACTTTGTCTTCAAGAGGAAAAGATCAAATGTATAAAGTCAATTATGTCTGCTTATGATAAAAAGTAGTATCTGTCCGTCTGCTTTTGTCTTTCTCGCAGACCAAAACTAACATTTCATGAGGCTTACAAGGTTCTCATAATAATACAGGTAATTAAACAGTACTAGCTTCTTAAAAACCACACACACACACACAAAGACACACACACACAAAGAATAGAAAAATAGCGAGACACAGTGAGACAAATAAAACTCATAAAAACATTATATATATATATTTTTTTTATATAGACAAAAGCAGACGGGCAGATACACGGACAGCTTTTTAGCACGAGGACCACTTTAGACTGGTCCAGAGGCAGAGGATTGTAAAACTGTTTTGACTGGATTCTAACTTTTGGCAAAATGACAAATGATCATGAACATCATTAATTAACAGAATTTTGAGACACGATCAAAACCAAATGTCAGTATATACAACTACAATCACCAGCTGAGAGCAGGAGGTTCTGGGATTTAAAATGAGGTATAACCAAGCCCCGGTGATCCAAGATGGCTTCCTGTTCTAATGAACGGCTTGTGCTCAGTAGTTCATGGGACTTCATGGAGACCGGGAGATTAGCAGAACTCGCCCATATTTGGGCATCGTCTGGTCCTCCCGGTTCTGGCCAGAGGACGAATTCCCATGATGCTTTGTGCCAAATACGTGTGTGTGTGTCTCATGTACGTGCACAGAGGGGCTCGGCTGCGCTCTGACCAATCAGAGCTGATCAGAGCGGAGTCAGAGCGGGAAGGAAAGGAGCAGAGTTTGTGGCACTAAAGTGTGGATTTAAAGAAAACCGAAGGATTTAAGAAGAAAAAAGTTCAGGACGACAAGGAACACTAACATCCCCACAAAATCTGACCTTTATTAAAGCTGTAGGTTCTCTGTCAGGTTCTCTGTCAGGTTCTCTGTCAGGTTCTCTGTCAGGTTCTCTGTCAGGTTCTCTGTCAGGTTCTCTGTCAGGTCCTCTGTCAGGTCCTCTGTCAGGTCCTCTGTCAGGTCCTCTGTCAGGTCCTCTGTCAGGTCCTCTGTCAGGTCCTCTGTCAGGTCCTCTGTCAGGTCCTCTGTCAGGTCCTCTGTCAGGTCCTCTGTCAGGTCCTCTGTCAGGTCGAGCTGTTTTAGTTTACATTGAGTTTTATGGGACTTTTTTCTGGGTAGCCCTCGTGAGTTTAGTCTGCAGTACCACAGCGCCCCCTGTGGCCAT